ACCCCTGGGGAATGCCACTCATGGCTGGTCACCAGCTGGGTGTGACCACTACCATACTCTGGGCCTGGTCATACAGCCAGTTCTTTACCCAGCAGAGAGCGTATCTGCCCACGCTATGGGCTGCCAGCTTCTCCAGGGGAATACTATAGGAAACAGTGTCAAACTGAAAATGGTTTATGGGCCGATCTGGCCCGGTTCCATGACTAATGGGGTGAGGGGACCCACACACCAATGCCCCAGGAGAGAGGTGGGGAAAAAGGAGTACGTGTCCTTATTAGCTTGTTAACAAGTGGATTTTGGAGGGATTTAGTCATAAAGGTTGTAGTCAGTTCTTCAAGTACAGCAACATGTTTTGTTCTGCGTTTTTTTTCCCCAAAATGCATATGGTTGTTCTTTTCCTTCCGCATTTTATTCCGTTTTCTATTCTTACTCCCATTCATTTATGGGTTCATTCGTGCAGTCTTTTGCAGGCAGACAAGAACATGCTTTATCTGTGCTACAGACTGGCTTACATACTTGAAAGCTGTAGGTAACTATTGTTACATTTGAAGCTGGTTTGGGACTTTTGGTGTCCCCATCATCCTCTGCAGGGTGGATTGTAGCCAAGCATAGATTCTACAGTGCTGTGTGCATGTTCTAGGTTTGTTGCTGTTGCCGCTGTTTTTTCCTTTTGTTGTGGTTCCTCAGAGACCCCCCTGCAAATCTCAGAGGTGATCAGAGCAGTTTGGATGGTGGGGTGCTAAAAATCACAGACAGAAATAGATCCACTTTGCTGGATGGTGGAATGGTGAATGCATCTCACCAGCTGTGTATAAAAGAGGTTGCTGCCTCCTTGGCCTTGAAGGCAAAACTCTGCCTTCTGTGCACTTGCATCTTCAATGCTTCTTTCTGTATTACCAGTTTCCATATTACAGGATTCTCTGATGCTCTTTCACCTCTGTTACTTCCAGTCCCCCCTTTCTGAGGAAAAGCTCTGAGAAATTGCAGCTGCCTTCCAATTGCTTTAGGTTTAATATTTTTACTTTGACTTTTTAACCATTTCTAGCTTACCAACATTGAATTCTGTTTTACCTTTACTATTGCAAGCTATGACAACATTATCTTCTCCCTACTTCCCCTATAATCAATTCCTAGCTTTATTTCTAGTGTCTTTATATTTCTTCTTCCTAACATTTGCCTTTCTTTCCTTTAATGTGAATGAGCTATTCATTCAAGATAAATACATAAAACAGAAGATCAGCTGTTCTGCTTCTCCCTATAGTGAAATATTAATCTGAGCTACTGAACTTGTTCTATTCTATATGGAAAATAAGTTGTTTACTGTACTTAAGAACCAGAATCAATGGTGGTGATACCACTTAATGAAAACTACACCATTTTTCCTGAAGATTTCAAGGCTGTTGTATGCTTTCTCTGATATTCTTTGTGCAGCCTGATTATTGCAAATGCTACTTACTCCCCAGTGTGTCTCTCCAGCATTGGTAATTAGTGCATAATACAATTTGCAGGAGGCATGAAGAAAAGCACAGAAGTGCATTGATTAACGTTGCTGCTTGGTTTAAAGGGAAGACAAGAATCTGCCATGTACCAAGGCCTAAATTACTTGGGGTGGGGAGCAGTGTCACAGACTAAATAAGGAAGTGTTTGTAGAAATAAAAAATTCACTGTTCTTATTGATCTGACAACGTTCAAAATGACTTCCTCAAAGCATTCTAATGACAAATTTAGCAAGTCGACAAAAGAAAATAACAAAACAATTGAAGCTTTATTAAAACAAGCGAGGAAACTTCTAACCTTAATGCCCTTGAGCAGAGTGCTTCTGATTCTGAGTGGAGAAGGCTGCTGTCTTATTCTCTTTTACAGTGCCAAGAGGGGGAAAGATGGTTCCTCTGTGTTTCATCTTATATATCCAGGAATGCCACTTGCAGGTTTGCTGTATGGTGCTCAGTCTTACCCATGCACTTGAGAGAACTGAATATGGATGAAAGGTGTGTAGCAAATATAAATTGCTTAAAGAAGCAACATTAGCAGTAATAAATGTCAAAACAGGTCTAGACCCAGGCTAAATTCTTTTCTTGTTTCCACAAGGTTTCGTTTACTAATAAAAGGACATATGAAGTATCCCAGTCTTCAGTTTGGCCCACAATTTAATCAGGAGTTAATCTGCAGATATTTACCTCCTCCTGCAGATAAGAAGCAGCAGCTTTATGTTCGCAGGCCGTGGTCCTCGTAGGGGACTTCAGTGATGCTGGTAATCCGCTGGAAGGTCAACACAGTGGGACACAGTGTAGAAGATTTCTAGAGTCCTTTGTTGACAACTGCCGAAGAAAGCGATTGCTGAGACAACAAGGAGGGGTGCTTTGTCAGATCCAGTACTTAGAAACAAGGAAGTACTGGCTGGAGATATCAGACTGGGAGACAGCGTTGGCTGCAGTTGTTATGAAATGGTAGAGTTCTGGATCCTGAGGGGAGGGTGCAGGGCCGAAGCAGAACCTCAGCCTTGGGCTTCAGGAGAGTAGATACTCCTCTGTGAACTGTTTGAAAGAATTATATAAGATTCAGTCCTGGGTGTGATGAAGTATTCAAGAGAGCTCACTGGTATTCAAGATTTGCCTACTGCAAGCTAAAAAATGGTCTATCCTGACAAGCAAAGGCAGCCAAATGCCTTTTGCTCCTGACTGAACTCAGGTGTAAAATGAAGGCATAGAAGATGTGGAAACAGGAACAGGAAAAATGCAGAGATATTCTTTGTGCAGGGATGGGGTTTGGAAAGCCAAAGCCCATCTGGAATTTAATCTTAAAACAGATGAGAAGAGAAGCAAAAAAGGGTTCTACGGATATATAAAGTGTAAAAGGAACTGTGTAGAAATGTTGCACCAGTGCTTAAATGCAGCAGAGGCTGTGATGAGAAAGGACTACGTTACTCACTGTCTTCACCTCAGTCTTTACTGGTAAGATCTGCCTTTAGGAATCCCACCCAACTGAGACCAGCACAGCATGCAATAGGGATGACAGCCTTGGTGAAAATGTTGATGCCCAAAGAAGAAAGAGAGGAAAAGGTTGTTAAGGCAGTTGAAGCATTGCACCCCTCCTTCAGAGTGTGACAACGTAATTTGCAATATTTATATATAAATATATCTACACAGGTCACTGTGACTGAAATGGAAGAAGTGGACAGGATGACGTGTTTGACTGGCAGTTCTTTATACTGGAAATCAAATAGGAAACACAACCAAGTATGCCTCCCATAAAAGGCTTTGCAATAATTAAAATTCAGACTACAGACAGTTGTTTTTCATGTAGATTAATTGGAGAGGATTCAGAACTTTGCCGTTCCCATGTTGGGATAATTTCTTAGCAGTTGATTTCTTTAGAAATTTCTTTAGAAATAATTAATTCTATATACAGTAAGGGAGAATGAGAGTTTGAATGTGGTTTTTAAATATAGCAGGACCTTAAAGGAATCTCTGCTCACAAGCCTACAGGATTCTGAGCCAGTGAACAGTGTACATTTGCTCAGAATGTAGGTGGCTATGTTCAACTTTAGCATTAGCTGCAAAAGGATGTGATACAAGGAATACATTTCAATCACAGTACTGGAAACAGTAGTAGATTGTATTTGTTAATTAGTGTCTTATCAGGTTATGATCCTTTCATGCTTATTATTATTCAGAAACAAGGATTCTGCTGCACTGTTGTCTGTTGTTGCTCTTGTATGAAAATCAGTGGTTGTAGTTTAGAGGAATGGTGAGAGTGGATTCAAGAGAACTTGTAGATAAAGAGAATATGGATGAGTTGCACATATGAAAACTTCTACATGATGGTAATGCACAGGTTTTTGTGGAGGCTTGTTAAACCATCTTCAGCCAATCCACAAGAAGATTCTCTTTTCGCTCTCAGGATCTTACCTATGCCATTGTCTGTGCCTTTCCTTCCTCAAAGAAAGAAGAATCTCTTGCAGCTGATTTTACAGATGTGCTTTAGTATTTTTTCACTTGGAATTTCTGCTTTTCTGTTTTATATGCAGCATGACACCTTGGTGCTGATTGATGTACATTTTCAGGCAATTTGTAGATGTCAATTTCTTATTTTTTTGAGGTGGAAGTAATAAGTTGGATCAATGAGTATTTAAAGTACAATTTATCCAAAATGACTGGAAATGCTAACTTTATTAAATAAGCAAAAGCTTCACTATGTGTTCCCTACTTGAGAAAAATACTTTTTTTTTTTTCCATTTTCAGTTTTTTTTAATGTCTTCCTCATCATTTTTTAATATAGTTCTATAATTAAAACTTGTTCTTGCTTTATGAAAGAATATTCTTGGTATGTAGATCCTTCTTTTATTTAAGTACCTTGATATCAGAAATACATCCTAAAAATATCTAGTAGCCAGGCTTAGGAGAATTGCCTATCATACACAATGCTATAATCAGATGATTTTTCCCTTTGACACAATTTGTGCTTTGCGTTCTCTGGATTCTTTAGTTGTATGAGTCTCTAGCTCACACGTTCTGGAAGTGACCATTGGGACCTTAAGTTGTTTGTTGCTAATTACAACTTGTTAATACTCCTTTTGTAACCAAAATGCATTTGAAAAAGACCTCAATATAAGTGAAACTGCAGTTCAAAATCTGAAAATTCACTTGTGTAGAGTGGAAATTCATCATGCCTCATTAGGATAGAGATTATTTTTTTCCAAAAAGATAGGTGGATGATTTGTAAGGTCATTTTAAGCAGTCATTGAAGTGGAAGAAGGATTGGAAAATGGTAGTGAATTTTTCAGGACTCCGTGAGAAAAGTCTGGTAAGTAGGTAGTAACTGCTACATCAGTGCCTGAAGCAGCACAGTGCTCATTCCTCAGTGGAATGAAGAAAGTGTGCATGGAAAACTAAACTTTTGCTACAAATAACAATGTAGCAAACCATTTTTAAATGGTAAAAATTGTGTGCTTTTTCTCCAAATAAAAAAATAAAATAAAATTCATATCTGTTTCCAATTAGAAACCCACAACCTGGGACAGAAAAAAGAAGACTTCTGTGCAGAATTTCAGCTTCATCCAAACTCCTCCACAAAAGCGGATTTCTTCATCCAAGCAGAAGATGAAGTGCTGAAATTTTCAGATTTGTTAGTAACCAGTCAAGGAAGACCTCCAAATATGTGTGCTCAGTTCAGTTCCAGTCCTGGAGAATCAAGGTACAGAAATACCTCAAATTATGTTGATTATTTTTTTTTTCTAAAACTCATAATGCAGACAGTGTAGCTATAATATTTTATAATGTCAGGGAAGCTGAGAATCAGGAAATCTACTTTTTTACTTAGACTAGGAAAACTGATCTGTCTAGGCGCTGTGTACTAGTTGATAGCTTATACATGTAACTGTGACCACCATATCTGTCCTTCTTTCCTGATGGAATGCAGCATTTTACCACTGTCTCCTCCAGCACTTATAAAGAATATGTTCATGGCAGTGGCTTATCTGCACACTGTAGGTACTTCAATTAATTGTAATTGTATGTCTCTTCAGATAATTTAAAAAATGCATATTGTACAGATTTAGAAAGGGTGATCTAAAATCTAGTAGTACGTGTGGCTTTACACCATAAATGTACCCTAAGTATGATGACTGATTAGGTAATTAGATGGCATAAGCTAGGAAGCAAGAATGAATCAGGGTGAAATCTAGGTGAAGTCAAAAGACTAAAGATGAGGAGTTGTAATACTTTGTAGGCAGGGTCTGTGACAGGAATCTGGAGAAGAGCAAATATGGTTGAAGAGTGTAATACAAAATCTGACGATTCTGTTCTGTCATTAAGTTTTGTACTAAGCTATAGCCCTATATTGCAATCCTAAGAAACATACACGCACATCTTAAAGTGATTTAATATATGCACTATAATGTAAAAATATATAATATAATATAGTAGTATATATATATATATTACATATATATATAAAATATATAAATGTAATATATTTTAAGCTCAAGGAGAGAGGGTTTAGATTGGATATCAGGGAGAAGTTCTTTACAGAGAGAGTGGAGAGGTGCTGCAATAGACTGTCCAGAGAGGTTGAATACCTCCATCACTGGAAGTATTCAAGACCAGATTGGATGGAGCCCTGGACAGCCTGGACTAGTACCAGATCTGAAGGTTGGTGGCCCTGCATGTGGCACGGGGTTGGAACTTGATGATCCTTGGTGTCCCTTCCAATCCAAGCCATTCTGTGATTCTATGATAGGTAGGCACAACCAACTGATCATGGAATTTTACCAGTTTTGAGTGACAAAGGTAGTCTGAAGCCTAACTCTTAACTAATAGTTACAGAACTGCTTTTAAAAATAAGATTAGTTCTGCAGGGCCCTGTAAAATACTTTTGAACATAAAAGCCCATTCTAGCTCTCCGTCTGTTTAGTGGCAGACTCTACACTTGTTTTTCCTATCTTCAGTATGATCCAGTGGAGATCCTTTGAACTAAAACCAGTCCATAGTACTTTTCCATCTGGCTTGTTGCTTTTATTTATTTTCATAAAGCCTGAGATGTGCTGTTTGGACAATGCCCCCTGCTCTAAAACCCAAATGTATTTAATGCTTATGTAAACCCCAATTCAGAGTCAGCCGAAGTCTGTTGTTCCTACCCTCCCCAGTATTGCTTACACTGTCAGTCAGACTGCTCTTATACATTGAAATTAACCTCCCACAGCAGTCAGCTTATTGAGCCATCTTACCTGCGTGTAGGACCCCAAAGCTATAGGCCAAGACCTCACTGAGATAGGTACTGTATAAATTGCACAAAACCTGTCCTTCCCCAAATAATTTGCAATTAGAATATACGGTGAGAAAATGTCTTCATACAAATAGACCCAGGAGATACTGAGTCAGTGTTAATTTGCACTATAGGTGATTGTGTTAGTATGCCATCAAAGTGACTTATAAAGTTTTCTGTTAGACAAAGGATGAGAAAATTGAAGCGGGGACTAAAATATGGTGAAGAGGTATGGTCATAGTTATTAATGAGATGCATTTCCTGAACATGGAAAATGCACCCTGAAAGCTTGATGTTTGTAATGGCTAGCTAATAGTCTCCAGAGGTATTTATCACTTTCAATCCAAAACAATACTGAATGAAAGTGAAATTAGCTACACCTAGCAAAGTTGACATAATTTTGAAAAACCTTGAAAGTGAACATAGCAGTATAAGCACACTTCCACCTCATTTAAATTACAGAATAATACACTAAGCAAGATCTGTGGTGGTTGGTTTTTTTTCTCATGTGAATCTCCCTACTGTCTGTTTAAAGTGCTTTGGGTGTATCATACTTTACCTGCAGAGTACAGATCTTAAATTTCTTCTTAAAAAAATCATAGAGAAAGGAAATCCAATGGAAGTAGATGAAGAGAAGGTAGCTGAGTTTAAACAAGTGATTATCTAAGTGGATGACTCTTTGGTGCTGTAGATAACTTTTCTTTCTAGGATAGGAATTATGCATGCAAGTGAAATAAAGAGATTAATATATACAGTAGAAATGGGAGTTCAGAAGGTACAGGTTTTCTGTGGCTACTTTTTATGGCTGATATGCCCATCTAATCCATGAATCTATGTATTTTGCTCCCATCCTGGGAGTGAGATCTGGATTATCTATAACTTTCAAGGGATAAACAAGGAGTTTTATTAAAGTCTCAAGACAGATTTTTTCCAGTCATCTTTGTATTGCTGTTTCTGAAGTTTGCATTTTAATTACAAATAGTGAAAAATTAATGTTGTAGTCAGTTTGGGATTTCATGTTGTCAGCACAACAGAGAGTCTATCTATTGATTAAAAGATAATTGTTACAAGGCTTCAATTGCTAAATCCATCATTTTTTCTAACAAAAATATGTAATTGAATCTCTTCTCATTTTTTACTGTCTCTGGCTAAATAAAGTAATCTTAAAACTGGAATTCTTGCCATCAAGTTCTTGCCAAGTATTTAGAATAGCCCTATAATTTTATAGTTTTCTGCAATACTAACTTCTAGATCTTGTCTTCTCATTTCACTTCATGTGAAATTGTTCTTCCTGAAGAATTTGGTTTCTTTTAATCTGAGCATCAATTTGATCCCCAAATGTTTCACTGCTTTGTTTTTCCATATTAATATTTGCTTCTCATAAGCATTTTCTGTTTATAGTCACTTCCTATTAATCAGTTTTATGCATTAGCACTGTAGTATATTTGCTTATTATTTCCATACTAAACTAAAGTTTTCTTTTAGACTTAAAGGTTTAAGATGTAACAGAAAGACATTCTGGTTATTGCTTCTGAACATATTTATAACAGTTAACAAATTTTGTTAATTTATTTTTGCGTACATTTTGGGAGGGTGAAGTGTTCTTTGCATTCACTTTTTTTTTCTTTCTCCTATATGTAGTGCTGTAGAAAGAAGAGGGAAAATGCTCCCTGAATTTATATCCTCATGGGAAGATGCCACAGGTTTTGGTGGAAAGACAGAAACTTCATTCCTCTTAAAAGAATTGGACACTCTAAGGGCCAAAAATAAAAAGGTACAATTTAGATTCTCAGATCACAGAATTTATTATTTTACAATTGTCTCATAAAGCATAAATTTTAAACTGTTCCTAATTTAGTTTTGTTATTTATTTAAGCACTCCAAACAATAACTTTCTAGTCATTTTAGATTGTTAGTGCCTGGTTAACAACTGCTTTTCCAGAATTAAAAAATCTTTCATCCTGCTCTTTGACCTTTTTAATCAGTGACCTAAGTTCCTGCATCACGGATAAAAAAAACCTACTGACGCTAATGGAAAAGTTTTCTTTGGCTTGAAAAAGCTTGTGGAGTGGAGTCTCCACATGAAACATATTTATTATGTGTGGAATTATTTACAATAGAACACTTTGTAGTGATGACTGGCATCCTATTCATGTTATCAGAGCAGACAGTGTATTTTATATATGTCATTTGAGTATGTTTTGCTTCTGCTACCCCTTGTCTCCCTTGTACTTTTGATATAATAAAGACAGGACTGTAGCTTCTCTATTATAATAGAGTAGTTCAAATGATGACACTATGACACAATTCAAAATCTGAAACTTACGTTCTGCAGTACATATGATCTATTAAACTCCATACCTAATCTTAGGTGGCTCAAGCATTTCATTATAAGCTTTTGAGCTCTTAGATGCAAAAAAATTACCAAAACTAAGGCCATTGTTTCATGAACAGAATCTGGAACTCATACTACTGTACATGAGATCCATATAGCGACCTCACCTGGGTGCCTCTGTGTTGTTTCTACCATTAGGAATGGTTGTATCTGCATAAACAACAGAAAAGTGTATAACCTTTTCACTAAATGCTCCCCAGTGCGGGGACAAGAGGCAGTGAGAACAAACTGGAACATAGGAGATTCTGTCTAATCAGGAAGGAAGCGCTTCTTTAATGTGTGGATGGCTGAGCACTGGCACAAGCTACATAGAGGCTGTGATGCATCTTGCATGGAAATCTCCAAAAGCTGCCTGAATGTGGTGTTGGGCAACCTGCTTGAGCAGGGGATAGAGCAGTTGGACCCAGAGGGCCTGCCAACCTCAACCATTCTGTTATTATGTGGAATGTCACTGACTGTTCAATGGCAAGCTCAGTTATTTCTCCATAAGCAGAGCTAGTGAATTCCCAATTAAAAGAAAGACCTCAGCATGTAAAAGAATATCAGTTTTCTATCAGGTGATGCACATGGAAAATGATACATTTACAGCTCTTAAGACATAAATTATGTCAGTACTCTTGATGGGTAATAGGCTACTTATGCAGTCACCACCTACATTATATTCCAAGTAACTGAACTTCCTTAGCAAGAATGACCACAGACAGTGTTATCATAAGAGGGGATTCCCAAATGAAAACAAATGGCATACACATTGCTGCTTTTTTCCAAGAGCAAGATAAAGCAATTGATCTTAAATTTGTCCTTTAAATAAATATATAAAATAAATTGAATTTGTGGTGTTCCCTATATTTGTATTTTGGGGATAAGAAAACTGTAATTTAATTTAATATTTTGTTACACTTGTTCAATTCAGCTTCAAGATGAGGTGTTGGAAAAGGACAAGGAGTTGAAGACAATAAAACTGGACTTAGAACTGCAAGAGAGAGCTACAGAAGCTAAGATTGCAGAAAAGATTGCAGGTACGGTAGGCAAGCGTTTAACAGATGGCTATATGGCTCATACAGTACACGAGGTTGATATATGACGTGGCCTAGTGAGTGTTAGCTTTATTTGCTAAAGGAGGGAAGATTTGACTTTTTTTTTCCTTTTTTTTTTTTTTTTTGTGCGTATGTGGCTGTTTAGAGTTGCTTAGAAAATAGGTGGCTTTAACATCCTGGTACTGGTATTAGCAGGAGCTTTACCTGTATTCATACTGATTTGGGCATTAAATGCATTGTTAACACCATGTCAATCCAATCACAAAAAGGTTGTTTGTTTTGTTGGAAGGTCCTGAACAAACAAGGGGAAATAATGATTACCAGTGCCTCTACCTTTCAACCAGCAGTTCAAATACCACTTATTGTTTTAGCTCATTCAGAGCAATACTACCCCTCTCCCCGAGTATGAAGGTAGTTGCACATTCACCTCAGCTAGAGACCTGCACTTTTCTTGAAAATGTGCTCTTCTGGCAATTAATGAATTTTTCTCTGATTATGTTATGTCTACAGTGAAAGAGACTTTAAGGTTTTTAAGTTTATAGTTAAGAGTGGATACATGCTTATATCTGTTGTTCATCATCCTTTGGTATACATACAAGACTGGAAACAGTTTGCATTCTGTGGTTTCAGAAATTTCTAAAGTAATGAAGGTGAGCATTTTTATTATTATTGAAAAGTGACAGTGTGTATCTTGTACTCAGTGGATGAAATATTCTGCGAGGTTTTCCTTCAGGTGTTTCAAATAAATTAATGAGAGTACTTTTCTGAATTAATCGTATTATTTGTTCATAAATACAGTGTAAGCTGTGCAAAGTTGTGTCCTTGTGGAGGATAAATATTCAAATAATATTGATAGTAATAATACCTGTCCCCAAAATATCAGTACTGGAGTAGGGAGTAACTAGGAAAACAGCAATGAAAATAAACTGAAAAAACAGATGGCTGACTTTCCACTTAACGTGAAACTCCTGAGAGTACGTAAGTCTGTGTATACCACAAGTAGAAAATTGCTAAATTTTCTGTGGCAGAGAATGAGAAAGGAGAAAGTGGATATTAGAAGTCAAGTTTAAGTGAAATACAGGCAGAAGTTTACTTTTCTATCACCCTAAATAGTCTTGTTTTCTGTATTTTCAGAAGACAAAAGAAGGCTGCACTGCGTATCATAGTTGTATCCATCAGCCAAATGCTAATGCAAATTGTTTGGGTTGAATTCCAAGTTTTGTGTTTGTTCTTGGATGTTTGCACAGTGTTTTACCTCTGTGCACCTGTAGCACATAAATACTCTATTTGATATAGGTGTTAAAGCCTCGTTAAAACCTGGAAATGAATATATGACTGTCAAAATGCTATTTAGTCTTCCTGTTATGGAAACATTTGAAATATTTGTTAGTAAATTGTTTTCTCCTGCATTACTGTTTAAACTTTCTAATTATGTCCTAAGCATGATGTTCACCCTAAAACAGTATGGCAGGTATATTGATAGAATAATTATCATAGTTATTACAATTAAAAAGAGTATGCCACATTTTAATGAGAGCTGCAATGAGTAATAAGGATTGTCTTTTAAAAAGAGAATCTTTTTGATCCTTTCACTGGTTCAGGAAGTATAAAATTCTTTAAATGCTGTGAGAGAGGCTAAAAGTCTTAGTACTTAAGCTGTTTGGAAAAAGAAAAAAAGTAACAGTAGTAGCCTTGTTAACGTCTATCATTTTTGCTTCCCATTTTACTGTTCTAAGACTCCTCCCAAGTTAGAATAAACATTTTGAAATATGGAATGAACTGAACTAAACTGAATTTATGGAGGTCCATATGTGTCTTTTTGGAGGTCTGTACTTGTCTGTCGTAAAAGCCTTGGGGAGAATTCTAATGGACAAGCAGAACATTATAAAGACTCTGTGTCTCAGGAAAAACTTTTTTCCCTTGTTTTAAGTCCTTTGTGGAAAGGAGAGCACATGCTGCTGTGATTTCATGTTACTAGTTAATGTTTAATTACCGCAGCATATAACACATGGTAGAGTGAAGCTTGTAAATATGGGTGTTTGCATTTTTATTATTACTTTGTACTGACTTTATGATAAGAAAATGACTCCACAAAATTATACTGCAAAAAACATCAGAAAGGTACACCATAAAATGTTATCTACTTTGAGGAATATTAACATTCTATTTTTAAATGAAACTCTAATTGGTGGGCTTTACCTAAATGTGCCCTTTGGCAAGAACAGAAAAGCTGAAGACAGAGGCCATCTTAAAATTTTAGTACAATGGTCTTCAGAAGCAAATACCTAAAGCTTGTCATTTTGTGATTTTTACTTTGTTCAGAGGAAAATGTAAAGAGAAGTGCAAATTTGTGAGATGGCTTATGAGAGAATAAAAAAGTAAATAATAAATGCAGAAGAGGGATATGGTGGAAGAGAATGTTTACCATGTGCAATAAATGGCTTATTTTCAGAAGATTTTTATTTTAAGATGTTACTAGGCTGGCGTTTACAGTTCATGAGGGAATTTGCAGTTCTGTTTGCAGACGCTTGACCACTAGAGGTGTTATTTCTGGTGGACATATTTGCCACAGATTACAACTGTTTCTTCACTAGCCTGTTAGATTTCCTCTCATACGAGGCATTGCCAGAAGGTACAATTAGTTTCCTTACTTATCTTGAAGATTAGAAAAATGAGAAGGAGGCAACGCTACAAAAATCAAAGGAAGAGCACTTTATAAAGGAACTGGGACTAGAATAATGTAAAGAAAAAACACAACACCAAATGTGAAGTGGTCATGAAGAACAGAAAAGGAAACAGTGAAATATTGGACTGCAGAACTTTTGTCTGTTAAAGAGAAAAGGGAATGAGTGCCCTCTGTGGGAGGGCAAAGGGAGGAGGAGCACACATACTCTGTGCACAGACTGAAAGTTAAGGATGGAGGTGTTACAAAGTCTACAGCCAGCAGAGAGAATAGATCTCACTTTGAACAGATACGATAGATGACTTCATTTTTGCCTAACAAGAATTATACAGGGCATATATAGAAATTTTTAGAGGAGAGAGCTGCTTGTGTGTGACAGTTGTCAAGCACAATGGTAGTGTCTATAGTCTTGGAAAGCTAGCCCTGAACTGCTGACAGCTACTTCCACCATACCTCACCTCAAGAAGATAAACTATAGTTGACAGCAGAGCTCTCTGTTTGTTTTCATGTTGCTATCATGCTCCAGTGTATTGGGATTAAGAATAATTCTGAAGGAAAATATGGTCAGAAATACTTCGTATCAAATCTTTCTGTAACAAGGGGCTATTTGTTTATTTGTTTGCTTACATTTTTAGTAGTATCTGATAGTAATGCTACCAGGATCTAATACTATTCTTAATCAGAGTCAACTCAGCAAGAAAGATCAGTTTATACAAAAATGCCGAGAATTAACATTTGTGATATTTTGGAATTCTTGAGCCTGTTGTGGGAATGTTCATGGGTGTTATTTAGTGTTTCCTGATTTAACTTGGAAAATATTTACTGAATGAATGTGCAAAAGTAATAGTTTTAATAGTAAAAATGAAAACAAAAATCCAAATGACTATTATCTTCAAGTTTGATATAGTATCCCATAAAGTAAGAGGAAGTAAGTAATCTTGCTAGTAATAAACTTAGGGTGGTGATAACTTCCAGCACAGAAGTATTTTCCATTTCTTCAAAGCTCAATTTAGAGTCCCTTTTTAGATGTTATTTTTTTTTCTTGCATGTCATCCATTAAAGATTAGCCGTGGAAGGCTGGAGCATGGAGAGATTATGAGTGGAAGAACAACTCCTGCAGAATAATAATCAGTTTTTGGTATTTAATGCTGTTTGACTTTTGCAGACACATTTCTTATTAACCTTTGGTACAAACAGAAATCCAGGTTCCTGATAGCTCATGGAGAAGATGAATTCAAGATCCTCTTCCAATTAAAGCGAAATAAGGCCAATATTGGGCTTTAGCCAAAAGAACTCAGTAGTTCTCCAACCCTTGTGTTTATAAACCTAAATATGAATGACATTTTACAGTTTAAGTAGGTAATGCATGCACTTTCCTAACTTGTTTTTAGCGATATTCATTTCTATATGTATTTATATGATTCTGAGCTTTTCTTGTTGTTGTTCTATTCATGCCTCCTTATGCAGTTACTTTTTTTTTCAAAATATTTACTGATATATAAGGGAATTTTGAAGCTAGCTGTATGATTTGAATCCTCTATATGGGGAGATCTATTTATTTAAAGAACAGAAAAAAAAAATTCAGCTTCAAGATAGGAATGTTGCGAGTGATGATATCTTAATTTTTGAGAGCTCAATTTGAAACAATTTAATTTTAGCTTTGAGTTGTCAGAATCATCAACTGTCAAAAAAAGTAGCATGCAGATCTTTAGCAATATAAAATAAGCAAATAGGTTAAAAATATAAACTATTAAGCTATTGATGGGGTAAAGTTTTTTTTTTTTGTAAAAAGCAATTTGCAGTATGTTCTGCAAATTACGTGATTAGTCTGGCCCCTTCTTTGTTCCCCTCTGCATCGTGCTAGATGAACGTAAAGAATTGGGGTTTATTCATGATATTTTTGGGACATTACAGAAACTCTTACTTTTCAAATCGTAACTTGCAAACTTCATTGCAATATTTATTGTTTTCCCCCTGAAGTAAATATTCAGACATCAGCAATTATTCACTGGAAAAAAAAAGTTTAACAGCATTATTGTTTGAGTTTTGAAGTCAGCTGTGTTTAGTGTACTAGAAGCAGAGGCTTAAGGATTGCCTTTCACAAGAACTGCCCTGGGGTCTGTGTATAATACTCCCTCCTATTCTTTACCCACTTTATTTTTTTTTTAATTGAACTAGGATCTGAGTACACAAAGAAAACTCTATACAGAACTGCCACTAAGCAACTTTAGCCTTTTATTAGGAACGCTGTGTTTATATCATTGGAAATGTAGGAGCAAATGAATGCTGTGCACTAAAT